TGCCTAGCAACCACTCCCGAGGTGGGGCCCCGCACGGGCGGCCAGGCGGGCAGCCTGCAAGTTCTTCTCTCCTCTCCCTGGTTCCTGGGCTCTGGGAGACCTTTCTCACACCTACCTGCCTCCCCGTTCTCTGAGACAGACAGAGCGGGAGGGCCACCTTCTGGGATGAGCTTGTAGGCTCCCTATTAAAGTTGGTCAGTGCATGCCCACCGGCCCCAGGCAGTGGGGAGCAGGAACATGAAGAATCCTCACTGGGAGCTAGAGGAAGGAGCATCAAGAAAGGCTTCCTGGAGGAGGTGAGCCAGGTGGCCGGTCAGTACCACCTGGTGACCTCTCCTTGGCCTTTCCAGCCAACCCCCTGGGGATGACTCCAGGGGCTGCCGCCTTCATGGGCACGTGTGACAGCGACAGTGTGAACTGTGACTCAGAGGTCTCCATACCTAAGGTCCTGGAAGGTGAGCGGGTGTGCAGGGGCCAGGCTGGGCTGGGGGTAGGGGCAGTTGTCCGGCCTGGCTCTGAGCGTGGACTTCCCCTGTAGTGGATGAGGAACTGGAAGACACGGAGAGGGCCTGTGACACACTGCTGATGTGCATTGTCACCGTCATGAACCATGGGCTGCGGAATGGGGGCGGCGTGGGTGACATCCTCCGCAAGCCCTCCAAGGATGTGAGTGCGCCCCAGCTCTGCCCAGGCCCAAGGGAGCGAGGAGGTCAGACTGGCCACAGTATCCAAGCAGGGTGCAGCAAGCCAGGGGAGGGCGGGGAAACTGAGGCAGGACTCAGTGGCTCAGCTCCCCAGAACATGATTGTCCCCAGAGGCTGCCTCTGAGCAGGCCCTGTGGGAGGAGCATGTGGGAGGCTCATGGTCCTGAGGAGGAAATTTGGAGCTGACTCAGGGGCAGACACCACGTGGGGCCCTCGCCCTGCCTCCCCCCTCCCAACCCGGCCCCCCCAGGGCTCCATCCTGCTGCTCTCATGGGCCCACCGTTTCTCAGCTCAGACTCAGTCTCGGGCTAGGAGTCCTGCTCGTGGGGGAGGCGGGGACCCCTCGGCCTGGGGGCAGGACTCGTTTCCTCCCACAGGGTGCTGGGCTCCCCCAGGGTGGCTGCCCTGACCCCTTCTCGTCCTGCAGGAGTCCCTCTTCCCGGCCCGGGTGGTCTACGACCTCCTGTTCTTCTTCATCGTCATCATCATTGTGCTCAACCTCATCTTTGGGGTGATCATTGACACCTTTGCCGACCTGCGCAGTGAGAAGCAGAAGAAGGAGGAGATCCTGAAGACCACGTGCTTCATCTGCGGTGAGGCCGCGGGGAGCCCCGGGTGGGCGGGGGAGGAGTGTGGGCTCACCCCATACCCCACAGGAGCTATAGGAAGGGGGGTACGGGCTGCAGAAGCTCTTCTTTTAAACACTCCCATGGGGACAGAAGCTGCAGCCCAGCCTGCGGCCTCCAGACCCAGCGCAGCTCCCTGTACCCCCGCCCCCCCGGCCCCCTGTCCCAGGCGGGCTAAGGAGCAGATGTTTGCTGTTCGGGTCGGGAGCCCTGGCTCACGCTCCCAGTACGCCGCGGCCGGCGTGCAGGGCTGCAGCTGTGCGGGCGGGATCTCCAGGGCTAAGTGGCTGCTGCTTTAAATAGAAATGACCTCAGTAGCTCGGCGGCACCAGGCTGTCCTGCACGCGACCACCGAGGCTGAGGGTTGCCCTGACTCCCCGCACCCCAGGTCTGGAGCGCGACAAGTTTGATAACAAGACGGTGTCGTTTGAGGAGCACATCAAGTTTGAGCACAACATGTGGAACTACCTGTACTTCATCGTGCTGGTCCGTGTGAAGAACAAGACAGACTACACAGGGCCCGAGAGCTACGTGGCCCAGATGATCAAGGTGCGGCCTCAGGGGAGGCCAGGGCTGGGGACAGCTGTGGACCCGTGTGGAGAGGCTGGCGGGGAGTGGAGGGACAGCTGGAACCAGCCCTGGGCTGTGTGCAGCTGGCCGGCCGCCACGCAGGGCTGCACAGCGGGTACCCTGACGCTTCTGTCAGCCCCAAAGGGTCTGGGGATGTCCCAGCCCACGGAGCTGCCTGGGGGAGGGAGGATGGGGATGTGTCTCACCCCCCCAGCCCTGATGGGTCTCAGGCTGCGAGTATTTGAAGCTGTGACACTTTAGAGGAATCGAGTTTAACCTGTTCGGTTTCTGTGGCCGCGAGGGCAGTTGAGTGAACAGGGGCTCAGAGCACTGAGCGCAGAGGGCACCGCTGAGTCCTCCTGTGGAGGTGTGTTTCCCCAGCGGCCGCCCGGCAGGCAGGTGCAGGGTGAGAGGAGCACCGCTTCTGAAGCTCTCAGGCCGGGGCCAGGGCGTGACTTGTTTTTTAAGTCCCTATTTGAACTGGCCCTGGAGGTTGATCTGCCGGTCTGAGAATTCACAGTGGCGACAGGAACCAGTGGCCACGTGGGGCCCCCCTGCCCTCCCGCAGTTACAGGAAACGCGGGTTTGCCATGCAGACCCAAGGCTGTGTCAGCCGAGCCTCCCTCCCAGCCTCTGCCGCACACCTTCCTGGGGTGCAGGGCTGCGGGGAGGAGGGCGACGGGTTCTGGGTGCAGAGCCTCCTCCCCTCCCTCCCTCTCTCTGGAGTCTGGGCGTAAACAGCCACCATGCTCAGGGACAGTGGCCGCGGTGCCCTGGCCTGGCTCCCTGGGGAGCTGTTCTGTGGCGGGCGTGGCGGAAGGCTGCCCCACGTTACTGCTTTCCGGCCGGGCCCGGGCTCCCTCACCCCTCCCGGGATCCGTTTCAGAACAAGAACCTGGACTGGTTCCCCCGGATGAGGGCCATGTCCCTCGTGAGCAACGAGGGCGAGGGGGAGCAGAACGAGATCCGCATCCTCCAGGAGAAGCTCAACTGCACCATGAAGCTGGTGTCGCACCTCACGGCCCAGCTCAACGAGCTCAAGGAGCAGGTGTGGACCCTCCCCGCCCATCCAGCCTGGGGGGGCAGCCCTGCGGGAGGGGTGGGTGCCGCTGGGCTCCCCCAGCCACGTACCCCTTTTGCTGGCCTAAGTTCTGGGAACTGGGTCTGTACCCCCCCACCCCGCCCCCGCCCATACACACAGACCCAGCTGGAGGCCTGCAGCCAGGCGCCTCCCCCAGGCAGCTGTGAGGGTGCGGGGGTGAGAGGTGAAGGCAGCCCCCCACTAGCTGCACCCTCTGCATCCGGCAGCCCCCCGGGTGGGCTGCTCTCCCAGCTGCACCAAATCACGGGGTTGTGACACCGCGCTGCGAAGGGCTAGGGCACACTCCAGCTTACCCTGGGGGCCTGGGCCTGCTGCCAGCCCTGCACAGCAGGCAGCTGGGATTTCCGGAGCAGGGTGGGTGCCGCCCGCAGGGAGGGCGCAGGGCCAACCCGACCTGCTGGCACGTTTCGCCCTAGATGACGGAGCAGAGGAAACGCCGGCAGCGCCTGGGCTTCGTGGATGTCCAGAACTGCATGAGCCGCTGAGGATCACCAGCACGTCGTCTGGGCATGTGTGCGACAGTGTCCACCCCGGGTCGGGGGACCCTGCCCGCCCAGCGTGGAGGTGGAGCTGCAGAGCCAGGGGTCCTACTGAGAGCCTCTAAGACTCAGAAACCGGAAGGCCCGTCTGCCTTGATGCCTTAGTCCGAGGGCAGCCTCCCGGAAGGCCTGTCACTTTGTCCCTCAGGGACACGCCTGTTTCCCTGCTGAGGGTGGCGGCTATTGCAAGCACTACATTCGGAGGCTGCCTGTTCTGGGAGCTGGTCGTGCTGTCGCTATGACTCTGCAGCTTGTTCCTTAACTTATTCCCGGGACTGCAAAGGACCCTCGGTGCCGTCCCATCCCTGTCCAGGCCACTTGGCTCGGCCCTGGGGCTGGGGACCCCAGGACACAGAGCCATGTCCCCAGGCCCTGTCCCCGGAGCTGGTTCCAATTGCTTTTCCCCTCTGTGGTGTTTTACAAACCCGCCAACTTGAGAACTGTATGTCCATCGCCATAAATAAAGGCAGAGACTAGACTGTCTAGAGAGGCTGTTCCCCCCCGGGGCTGTGGGTACGGCGCTGGCCGCGGACAGAGTGCCAGCCGTGCCCACTGCCCGGCCTCCTCAGGCCTCGGGAAAGGATGCTTCACACGACATTCTCACCACTCCTGGGCCCACAAAGCTGTGTATTTAGCACATTCCAAGATTCCTGGGGGCATGTAGGCGCTAGCTCCTAAGTCTGGGACCTACCACCTCCGGGGCCTGGCAGGGGGTGGAGGGCTGGGTGTGCTTGGAGACGCCAGGTTTGATCCCCGGCACCACCGGGGAGTGGGGAGTGAGAAGCAGCCCTCAACACCACCTGGGTTGGCCCAAAACCCAACAAGGCAAACCAAACCCCAAAGACCCATTGGACATTCTCTCAGCAGTGGGTGCTGTGGGCCCCATTTCCCCCTTCTGATCTCCAGCAGAGAGCATGCATCTGCTAGTGAGAGCTAAGGCTTCACAGAGTGAGCTGAGCCCTGCCCTGGCCCGGCCCACCCGGCTGAGACTCCACCAAGACCCCCAGGCTGACAGGAAGGAGGCCTCCTTCTGCCCTGGGGACCCGGGGGGTCAGAAGGCAAGGAGGGAGTGACAGCCGGACGACTCCTCACCTCCCGGACTCCTCCTCACCTCCCGCTGCTCCTGCCTCCTGCCACAGGATGCCTTTCTCAATATTTGCTGCTATTTTTGGCTGTTTCCCAGGAGCTCCTACAACAAAAGGGAGCCTGAGAAACTCGCCAGGAGCTAGTCAGAGCCCTGCAGGCAGGGCGGGGGGGGCCTTGACCGTGCAGGAAACGCTTTCCCCTTATGGCCCTGCGCTCAGACAGGGCAGAACAGTTGTGCTTCCTCTCCTGGGGACTCCCCGTGCTGAGCAGAGCGGGCCAGGCTCTGTGGGTGCCCGCAGCCAGGCCGGGGCTCTCCTCGGAACAGCAGCCCTGCTCCCCACCTCTGCGCTCCAAGCCATTCCCAAACGCCGCCGACAGGAAATCAGGACCATTTTATTTCCGGTGGCCACATTCGTGTCCTCGTGCTTAGGTGCGCGTGCGGGATAAGGGCTCAGTCCAGGCCTTGTGCTTCTCGTCGGAACTCCGGGAGGTGAACTTCTCCTGTAGCTTCTTCCACAGACCTTTGTTCATGTCCTTGAATTCTTCCAAGGTGTCTGCAAAGGTGGAGTGGAGAACCCTGGATGTGAACTATATTCCACAAGTGCACACCTCCCTTGATCTGTTATATTTTTTTCTCACAAAGTAGGTTCTAGGAAAAGGGAAGTGCAGCCCCATGTTCTGATAAGGCATTAAGATAAGGTAATGGGAAAGGAACCGAGGGGCTTCCACCCCACACGGCAGGCCGCAGCGTCTCTGGGTCTCTCTCGGGGCTCACTAGCTCAGCACCCTAGGGGGTGCATAGTCATAAGGAGAGCCTCCCCCCCCCCCCAGTCCTGTTAAGTCAATTCCTTTATCCTTTGGGCCTCAGGTAAAAGGGACATAAAAATCCCTGCCTGGAAGGCTGTGGGGATTAGAGGAAGTAACGGAGGACACTTGTCTGGCACTCAGGAACAGGCGGTGTCGAGGCTGCATGCCAGGGCTCCATCTGGGCACCACACTGTTCCCTGAGCACAGGCTGGGAGAAGCCCTGGGGTTACCTCCAGGGGTGATTCAAAAAGCAGAAAAAGGTGGTGACAGAGTTGGAGGGGTCCCTGTTTGAGACAGACACAGCCCTTTGAAAGGTCAAGAAGGATTTCCCAGTGAAGGGCATCTGGAGCCAGACAAGCCTCTGTTCTACGGCTAACGTGTGACCCATTCAGGGTCTGAGGCACATGGGCCTTTATGCTCTAGAAGCTACTCCCCACTCCCGCCCCACCTGTGACAACCCTTCTCCACATACTGCTGTATACAGCCGCGAGTGAATCACACTCTCAGTAGATGTTACAGTAAGAAGCTTCTCCATGGCTAAACTTTTATGGTACCTACTTTTATTCCTGTTTTCAATTTAGCCTTTTATAATAATGTCTGAATCTCATAGCTTGAATTTTTGTTTGCTGACACTCTTGGGGAAGGGCTGGGACCGAGTGGTAAAAGCACTTGCCTTGAATGTGTGAGACTCTGGGTTTAAGCCCACGGACCCTCAAAGAAAGGAAAAAGGTCGGGGGAGCTTTTCCTATCCAGGGCCCCATCCAAAACAAAACCAAAAAACCCCATCAAACCCAAACCAACACAAAACAACAGAACAGGCATGTCCCAGTAATAATGTGACTTAACAGTTCGCCTGCATTTTAACTGTTGTGGGACCCCACCCGGCAGCCGGGGATGGGAGCCAGGCCCGTCCTCATGCCAAACATGGCTCAACCACATCAGCCACATCCTGGCCCCGAGCAGCATCAGTGGGCTTGTGACGAGACTGGGTCACATATCTCACCACCAGAAGTCCCCAGCCCAGCACCAAGCTCTGGGGCTTTTCCCCCAAGTCCAGGCTCTGGACCTGCAGTTTCTACAAGTTCCCTGTGGGGCGCAAAATGGAACATGAGGCCTTTGTTCCTGGCCCTGTTGGACACGTGTGCTCACATGTGGGCAGGCCCCACGTGGGCAGGTGTTTTCTTGGCCCAGAAGAGGAGTGGGAGAGGAGCATTCTGAAAGTTTGTCCCACGTGGTTGCCACGAGAACAAGAGGCTGGCCGTTGGGACAGACCCAGAGCAGCCTCCCCAGGCTCAGCACCCAGCCACACCCTGCGCCGCGCGGGGCATCCCTGAGAATGAACAGCGCAGAGGCTGAGCCTCCAGACTCAGTCCAGCCCACCTGCAAGTCCACTTCTGACTCTGGGGACCTCCCAATAAGACCATGCATCCATGCAGGCTCATCACGTGAGCTCGGGGACGGCGGAGACAGTTATATCTATATACAGATACATGCAGGAAAATATATTTTGAAAATTGAAAATAAAGGCACGGGCCAAAATAAAATAAAAAGTCTCTTCACCCCAGTTTTCCAGAGAGCACTGTAATAAAAATAGGATCACAGTGACACACAACGGCAGGTGATGCCACCAGGGTTTCAATCTGCTCTGAGTTAAGAGTTTTCTGGAAGGTCAAATCCCTGCAGCTTAGCTGGAAAGGCACTGACAGAGGAAGATGAAAGAGAAATTTCTAGAGTACCAGAAGGCAAATGTTTTGGAGCCACGCCTTCCCAGAAAAGGTTAGCCTATTTTTATATAGTATATCCCTGAAAATAAAAATAGTAATTTTCCAGAACCTGCCTTCTTCACCCAGGCTGCCCTGCCATCACCCCGTCCCTCCCTTCAGAGGGTCTTTCTCCGTAACTAGTGTCGCTCATTAACTCTGGAATCCATCGCGCTAACCCCGGCTAGCGCACACACCGTGCCCCGCCCCCCAGGCTGGAGAGCTCTCAGGCGGATGTCCCCACAGACTGTTACCAAATGGCTTTTTGTTTTAATTAAAACCCTCATTGTTTATAAAGCCCCCTTAGGACCATAAAAATAAATTCATTTTCCTTCCATCCTGATTCCGACTACTTCCATTTGGCAGATAACAATTCCCTTGTCCCCTGCTGCCCGGCCCTTGCATGTAAAGGCTCTAAAGATGGATCCTGCTATTTTGAATAATGCCTTTGACCTTCGCCAGATCCCAGCCCTTGCGCTGGGTTGTCCTCACCAGCCTTTCCATCAGGCCAGGCTGTCGTGTGAGCCGATTCCCCCCGGGCCACTCAGACGCCGCCACTTAGAACCCAATCGGAAGGGACGGTTGTGTGCAGTACCTGTGGACAGGATCACTTTGTACTCCTCCAGGGACAGCCCGCTGAAGCTTGTGTCTCTGGGACGGGGGTACTAGATGCAAGGAGACAGAGACGAGAGAGGTCAGGGGGGCTCGGCGACCCCACCAGAACCCGGGCATCTTGGGGGAAGCTCTGGTATGGTCGAGGGAGTCCAGGGGCCAGAGGCTGAGAGAGGGGAGCAGCGCCACCTGCAGGTCAAGCCTTAACACGGCAAGACCCCGCATCCACCGTGACTCAGGGGGGCGTCTGCATCTGCAACCAGCTCTCAGGAGGCACCCAGGGGCAGCTCACACGCCAACGTGAGGGCACAGGGGAGAAACTGACGCTCCACGGCCGGGCACTGGCCTTTGTGGAGTGACTGGATACATTTCTCAAGTCTGGAACAGTGACCCAGTGGGACCTGACGGTGACCACGTCACAACTGAGGAGAAACCCCTCTGCCGGGACTTTGTCAGCCTCCCCCAAATTACCACGAGGGCGGGGAAACCCCAGCTCTGTCAGAGCAGAGGGGAAACGACGCCACGTTCCGAGGGGCGCGAGGGCCACACAGAAGCACCCGCTCTCATAGCTCTCATCCGGGATCAGCAGGAGCACCAGCCTCCAGGCCCTGAAAGCCCCTCTGGGCGCCTCGGATGGCCTGCTGGAAATTACGAGCAGAGCCGCAATTCTGTATGGAACACGTGAACCTACAGGGTTTCGTGGGCCCAGAGAGGCTGTCCCGCCCCATCTGCAAACGCTCACCTTGTGTTTGTAGTAGTTCGAGTGCAGTCTGGCCAAGCTCTCATACATCTGGTCGCAGACCTCAGGCTCCTGGACCTGTCAGGCAGAGAGCCCTCAAGTGAGCCCCGAGGCCCCCCGGAAGCTCCGCTCACCCCGGGCCTGCGCTGGCTACTCCCTGGGAAGGCCGTTAGAAATCACCTTTGCAAAGTAAGGTCCCCCACAACCAGGCCGGCCCACAGTGCCCCACAAGGCAGCAAGCCAGGTAGAGGGAGAACTCGGGGGTGGGGTGGGGGGGACTGGGAGCGGCCCTGCAGGCAGCAGCAGGGGAGATTGCTGCAGAAAGGGAGGGCCCACATGCTTGGGGTCGGTGGGCAGTAGGAGGGAGACGCACGGGTGCTCAGGAGAGGGTCGGGCTGGGGCAGGGGCTGGCACAGAGGGGAGAGCGGGAGGAACCCGCCATCCCCAGGTCTGACTGCAGGACAAGGGGCCTGGACTGGGGAAGATCAAAGCGTTCCCCTCCCTTGTTTTCTGTTTTGGGCGCTTCCCAGCAGTGATGAGGGCAGGACCGGGGGTGGGGAGTGGGGGGGGGGTGAGTGGGACGGAAGCCAGGGCTCCTGTGTGCCAAGCAAGCACCCCAGCCTGCTGAGTCAACTCCCTGGCCTCCAAAGAGCTCTTTTTTGAGTTAAACCTTCAATACGAAATATATTAAATAAAGAATCTTTTATGAAAGGCAAAGGAAAGGAATCATCTGAGCAGCTTTCATCTGTGCTAAGTGGGGAGCGGCCGACTTTCACCAGGAAAGAGCCATGAGGATGAGACGGGGGAGTGGAAGAGACCTGGGGCCCAGGTAGCCCGCGGCCCGCAGTACACAGACAACTGCGTCCCCCAACCCCCCACGGCCCTGCTGGCAACGCCGGGGTCTCTGGGGACGAGAGAGACGCTCTTCCCTTCACATCCCTTTCAGTCTTCTCCTCGCTCTGCCCTAGTTATTATTTATCAATCTGCCGAGAATTCTCCAAAGCTCCCCAGAACAAAACTGTTTCTCCACAGAATTCAAATGATGGATTTTCCCAACGCAAATCCTTTCTCAAGAAAGCAGAACATAAATAAAACATTTGCTAAGCGGTTTTAATAAGGCAGCGCCACTTCTGCCTCTGCGGTGACCATTAAGGCCCGAAGAGAAAGATGACCGGTCACTCTGATGGACCCATCGGATGAGGCCTTGGGCGACCCACTGGGGAATGCTCAGGCTACTGCCTCAGAGGAGAAAGGATCGCAGGCGGGGAGGCGGCGGGCGCTTGCTGAGGATCAGTCCAGGGCACTGAGCGGACAGAGGGGTATGGGCTGAGGGGCTGGGAGAGTCTGCCCAGGAGCGACTGCCAGAGGCAAGTCCAGGGTGAACACAATTCTTGGCCTACGTTAGCGGAGGAACCTGCCGGGCTGGGCACCCCTGGAAGGAGCCCATGCATGGGCCCAGGCACCGATCAGCAGGACCGGGCCTGGCCCCCGAACCAACCAATGCCTGTGAACCTCAGGTTTCCACCAGGACAGGCACAGCCAGGGATACCCGGAGGACAGACCGGGAGGGAAAGCCAGCACCGAGTTTCAAAGACTTCTTTAGAGGCTCAAGAAATAACTGCGTTCCTTTTGTTGGTGTGCCGTCCTCATCTGAGGGGTCGGCTCCAGAGAGGGGGTCCCTGGCTGGGGAGGCACCAGGCAGACTGCACTGTCTCCCCGCCTCACTCTCCTCTCCGTGTGCAACTTCCCCCGATCAGCCAGGAGTGGGCCGCCACGCTGCCCTCCACACCACCATGTTTCGGCACGTCTCCTGGAACAAGGACCTGCTGATGTCAACACCACCGACCTATCAAACTGGCCACCGGCTCATCATCAGCAACACGCTCACCTCTCTGCCCTCACCTCACACGGCCCCCGGCCCCTCTTCACAAAGGCCCCCTCCAGTCCCCTCGGCCTTCATGCTCAGGGCCCTTTCGTCCCGTCTCTCGGGGGGTGTTGCTCGGTCTTTGTCCTGCAGCCACGGCCATTTCTGAAGAGCAGTCCACCTCAATCTTCCTCTTAAAAGGGAAGCTATTAATAGTCCCTTTGGCTCTGGGGGGCTGTGGGAGGTGATGTGAGGCCGAGGCCGTGGCCGGCCCACTGGGTCGGGAGCGGGATGCTAAGGCCAGGGTCTGGTTAGGCCATGAACAGCCACGGCGGGGAAGACAGACTCTACACAACTGTGCAGCAAAGGTGGGGTGTGGGGGCTCCAGAGAGGGTCTCGGCAGAGCAGCAGGAAGGGGCAGGGTGCCTCAGACCCCAGAGCAGCAGTTAGGCCATCATTAGCGGGCAGAGGAAGGGAACAGGCAGTGTGAGAGGGGAAGTGGGGAAGGGATGGGAAGTGGCCGCACCGCGCTCCCCGCATGACCCCATCTTCAGACTGAGGCTGAAGGGGGACAGGTCAGTTCAGTGGGACCAAATGTTAGCAGGGAGGGCCCCGTCGGGCTGATGCGTCTGGCACTGTCCCTGAAGCACCATCCTCCCCACGCTCTTCCCGGCAACAATTCCTGAGCCCAGACTCCCAGCCCTGAAAGGGTCCTCGGCCACCGCCCATGTCATGTCCCCTTCCTGACAGGACGGCAGGGCAGACGGGAGACGGGACAAAGAGCAGAGGGTCTGTGTGAATGATAGAGTGACCCCATGCTCTGGGCCTCATGAAGCTGTCAGAGAGAGACAGTTCCCGAGTCACAGACCACAGCGAGGGACGAGAAAAGGAACTGACAGGTCCAGAATCAACCACCAGCTCACAGACTTCATTCTGGGGGGGAGGGGGGGCGGAATAAAAATACACCCCACCACAATTGGTCACCCCACTTCTCATCTGCGGTCTGCCCGCATCTGCAGGCGGCAGTGAAAGCAGGGAGGGGACACTGAGGTCTGCCACTTTCCAGCCAGCTTGGTCACACCTGCCCCGACCTCAGCGAGGCAGATGTCCCGTCTCGCCCGCGAAGCTTCGCCGCACCCCGGCCCGCCGCCCGGACCCCGCAGCCCCACGTCTGAAACACACTTTCCCTGACGCAATCTGTTCTGCACTTTTAGAAACAGCCTCACACACGAGCTCTAAATAACCTGATGTTTGCATTCGCGCCTAATGAGATTACGGCCATTTTAGGGCTCACGGCAGCGCGGGGTTTGCAGAAGGCGGCAGAGGGAAGCACGAAGCATTCAGCGGCGGCCCCCTCCGTGTGAACGAAATAGATGTTCCGCTGACAACGTGTCCTTTATGGCTCTATCTCCGCTCCTCTCACATTTCCCCCTGCTCATTCGCTCGGTAAATTTCTCTTTACCATATTAAACTTTTATACTTACAAATCTCCACTGGTGCTGCAGGCACCGAGACGGATTCTGAAAACTGAAGTCTGGGCGGTGACAGCCACCGGCACACAAAGGGGGAGGCGAAGCACTTTCTGGGGGAGACTGTTGCAAACTGCTTTGCTAATTAAGGTGGAGCTGGAGTCGGGCCAGGCGCATCTATGAAGGAAGGTTTTCAGGACCAGCTAATGAACTTCTGAAATGAGTTCGTTCCATGATGGAAGGAAGCCCCAGTCAAATGGAAACAAGTTACCTGAGCACCGACAGGCAGCGAGGGGACAGAGGCGAGACGTCAGGAAGACCGAGCCTGGGCCCGGAGACCCGAAGGCGCCTGCACGGCAGTAAGTGCCACTGCAGGGACAATCGAGTCCCACACGCCAGGGAGGAGTGGCGGGCGCGGGCAGAGGTCACCCGTCCTCAGCGGAGACAAGGAAGGCCTTGAGGCCCGGGAGCCACAGCGCCTGAGCCCTGCGTGCTGCAGAGGTTTCGGGGAAGGGGGGGGGCCTCAACAGTGACACGCATGGGCAGGGTGGCCAGTTGGGGAGGCCGTGAGAAGACACCCTGGCCGAGGCGCGCCACAGCCGGAGGGAGGGGTGAACCCAGCTCCGAAGGCAGCGTGGCAGAGAGCCTTGAAGGAGAGTGGGGCCCCTCAATGGAGACAGCGAGACCCTCACCAGGGCCAGAAATCGCTGGGGACAGCAGGGCCCCTGACAGGGGTCAGAGGTCTCTGGGGACAGCAGGGACCCTCACCGCGACTGGCGATCATGGAGGAGGGGCCCACACACACAGGCCCTGCTTCCCTCCCTCCAGCCAAGGGGCAGCCGAGCCAGAGACGCCTTCGCCCTAACCACGCAGACTGGCTGCAGGGTCACTCTCAGAACTGACGACAACACAAGCAGCCCTGAGGTCACTGCCCACACCCGGGAGGTGGCAGCAGCCCTGAGCGCCTGACGCCCACTCGGACGGCTGAGACCACTGGGCTCCAGCACACCTCTGCAGCCCCTACTGACACAGCTCCAAAGCCAAGACAAAGTTCAACTCCTTCCCACCTGCCCGCCGTGCGTGCTGAAACCTGGACAGAAGGCCAAGCTGGGCAGCTCCCGGAGGGTCAGTCCCTTTCCTCATGGTCCTCAGAGCCTCGGGTGTCACAGGCAACTGGGCACTGGGTGCAGTCGGGGATCTTCTGGCTCGATAAACAGAGATTTATCTGTATTTATCATTACAAGGATCTGCTCTTGCCTGGCTCCTGCCAACAGCCACAGTGGCTCTGCCGTCCACCTCACTGCTGACCCCTGTATCAATGCAGACCCGTCACTGCACCCCTACTTCACTGCTGATCCCTACATCACTGCTGACTTGTGACTGCGGCCCATCTATCACTGCTGACCCCGTGGGCGGCAGGGAGTGCTATGTTCTCTGGGAACTGGACTCAAGCGTGGCAAGACTGTGCGGGTGACCCTGAAACCCCGCAGGACGAGGCCAAGCAGTCCGGGGCTAGAGCGGCCCTGCCTCCCCTCCCCTGGGGTTGTGCGGGAGGGGGTGGAGAGGGAGATGCCCCGAGGAGGAACAGACGCAGACAGCACTTGTCCCCCGTCTGACGGCCTGGCTTCTAGTGAGTCTGGCTCTTCGGGGCAGTTCTGTCCTCCGCAGGAAGGCAGGGGCTGGGGGTGAACACAGGGAGACGTGTCCTTTGCCACAACTACCTATGGCCCTGAAACTGAGTGGGGGCGGTGGTGCTTTGGTGCTCATGAGCAAGAGAGGCCTTTCCATCAGGAAGCAGTAACTTGGGAACAAACAGCCACAAGGGCCGGGCCAGGGCTCCACCCATTGCAACTGCCTATTTGTCTTGCCCTGCCACGAACCCGAGTATGCTGCTGTTCTGTTTGTTTTTTTTCTTTTTGGGTCATACCCGGCGATGCTCAAGGGTTACTACTCCTGGCTCATGCACTCAGGAATTACCATAATGGACCATAATGGATGCTGGGAATCAAACCTGGGTCGGCAGCTTGCAAGGCAAACGCCCTACCCACTGTGCTATTGCTCCAGCCCTGCTGTTCTATTTTTCTGCTTTTGTCTTTTAAATGGGACAAGTAACAGCTCCCTCAGCTGAATGTGCACTACACCGCCTGGGGTCCCGAGAGTGTGCCCGCGGGCGCCCAGTTCTGTGGTTCAGATGCAGGCCGTCAGAGGTCATGCGGAGGCTACCCATCTCTCTCCTCCACTGCAGGGCTGGTCCTATTAGCCAACCGGACCCAATGCACGCTGCCCGCGGCCGGCTGCCAACGAACTGACACGCTAGTTAGCACCACCTTCCTTTCTCGTGGTGCAATCCTGAGCTCCAGCAAGGGTTGCTCCCTCCAAAAATGATGTCCGTGGGTTGCGTGCGTCTGTGCTCTTCACCAGGTGACATTCCTCACATGGAGCCATCCACCCAGCCAGGACACGCATCTAGTCATGGCTCAGACGGCGGGACCCTTCCCCAGCACAGAGGGACGCAAAGGTGACACCTCCCCAAGACCAAGTTCTCCCCTCCTCTCCTTGTCCACTCACACAAGTCCAATGGTCCAACAGCGACCAAATGGGAGCCCCCAGGACCCCACACAGTAGTGCAAAAGCAACCGCCCCACTCAAGCCTCCAACAATTCCTCAGGGCTCCCTCTGCTACATCTGCAACTCATATGATAATCTGCCTCCTGAGCCATAACCAATTATTTATTCCTATCTATTCCTTCAATATTTACTTTTTTTTTTTTTTTTTTTTGCTTTTTTGGGTCATACCCGGCTATGCTAAGGGGTTACTCCTGGCGCATGCACTCAGGAATTTCTCCCGGCAGTGCTCAGGGGACCCTATGGGATGCTGGGAATCGAACCGGGGTCAGCCGCGTGCAAGGCAAACGCCCTACCCACTGTGCTACTGCTCCAGCTCCTACTCATTTCTTTAATGAAACTGCGAGAAGAAAGCTAAGCACAGCTTCACCTCCTCTTGGGAAGTTTAAGTGAAAAGCAAGTAGGAAGCAGCGCCAGAGAACAGAGCTGGGATCTGACAAGACACTGGCCTTCGAAAGCCTGAGACCCTGGCCAGGGGAGAGCACTGTAGGAGTAGGAAAAGCCCCTCCTTTCAGCAGAAGCTATGCCCCTCTATCCATGCATGCTCAGCTGCCAATCTGCAACTCCTTTCCAAGATGCGACTATGTACCTTCCTGCTCCAAGGGCGGCAACTAGACTGGACAAGGCTGCAGAAGAAAATGTGAACCTGCTTCACTAGGCCTTGGCCAAGGTCTGCAAGAGGCCTTCCTCCAGGCTGTTGGGTATCACATTGCTTATCTCTGACCTCTGGCCCGAGAGCCCAACTCTCAAATATAACTGCTGCCGACTTGACATTTCCACTTGAAGTCAGTCCCCGGGGCAGCTCAAGTTTAAGGTGTCCAGTACCAAACTCAGGATGTTCTTCCCACACCCCACCTGTTGTCATCTTGTCTTTCCCACTCCTAAATGGCACCCGGGTCTACCCAGCTACTCGGGCGAAAAACAATTCCAGTGGTAACCTTGGTTCCTCTCTTCTTTACCCAGCATCGAATTTCTCAGGAGCCCTGCTGACACACCTGTCTACTGCACCCCAAATCCGGTCCCTTCCAGCTTGGGGGCTGACCCTCCACTCCAGCCACTGCCATCTGGCCCCACCTCTCTGCTCTTCCTGCCGCCCACACCAGCAAAGCGACCAGGGAATCCTGTCACAGCAAGCCCAAGGACGGCTAGCAAAACCCAACTCCTACCCAGGGTCTAGCTGGCCTCCCTATGCTGGCTCCATGGCACCAGTTCGTGCAAACTCACTCCTGACCTCCAGGTCACCTGCTTGTGCACATGCCCGAGTGTTTGCTGGGGGGCTCTGGCCCTTTCTGGAATGCCCCAGGGCGCGGAATTGTGCATCTTCCCCTAGGTCACACCCATATGAAACCTAGCTGGCCTACCATCGCTAAAATGACTATTTTTTTTTCAATCATTTTCTATCCATCGAGGTACTCCTCCGGGATGTCACATCTGCCCACTATTTGTCTTGGAACTAGAATGGGCCATAAGCGTCACGTGGGCAGGACCTCATGGAACTCATCGCTGCCCGCATGGCATGGTGCAGATCTGGGAACGGGGCGGCTCGATAGACGTGCTCTGACCCGGGGGGACGCAACACCGTTCTTCAAGCCTTCCCGCCACATCCGGGGGCCCGATCGTCTGTCCCGGCAGGTGCAGACAGAGAAGCCCCACCGGGACCCCGGGCAAGGGCTTCGTGGGGGAAGCTCCGAACCCAGCGCCGCGACACTGGAGGCAGGGGAAGGGGCAATGGGGCCTTAAGGCGGTCACCGGCTACCCAACGCGGGCTAAGGAAGGCCAACTCCCGCCCCCTCCCACGATTCGGCCGCCGGGTCCCCCCCAGGGGCGCAGCCCGGGGTGCAGCGGGTGCCGGAGGCGGTCGGCGGGTCCGCGCGCACGTGCCGGCGCCACGAGCGCGCATGCGCAGGCGCCGCCGCGGCCCCTCCTCCCCCGTGCCGCCACCGCGCCCGCCGCGGGCGGCCCCCACGGTCCGGTCACCTGGGTGTTCTCTCCCTCCCGAAAGGCCTGTGCTACCCGCTGCCGCAGGTAAGCACCCAAGTCCCGGCCCCGTTTGGTCTCGTCCACGGGCCACTCCTCACAGAGCTTAAGAAAACGCCGGTAGCGGCCGGCCGCCATCTTGAGCCCCGCGAGTGCCCCGCCCCCATGGGCGAGGCCGCGCGTGCGCACGGGCGCGCGGCCGGCGCGAGAGGCGGGGCGAGGCGGGGCGGGGCACGCGCATGCGCCATCCGGGCGCGCCGCGCGGCCGCCGGAGAGCGGCGCTGCGGGTCCTTGTGTGCGCGGTGAGCCGGCCGCCTCCAGGAGGCGCCGGCCCCTAGGGGCCACGCAGGCACCACGCAGGCACCGAGGCCCCGGGGACAGCTTGGCTTCTTTCTCAATGACTGCACAAGCCCCAGACTAGAAATCCCTCCTGCGGGACTTCTGCCGTTTTGCGTAAACGGATGCATTTGCATGTAAACACAGGTGGTTTATTCGATGAAGATGTGTTAGGACTTCATCTCATGGCACGCTTCGTGGTCGGGGCCCACCCCGCCCTTCTCTCTCAGCCCCAGTGCCTGTCACTTCCGCTGCTTCTCTGCCGCAATTCCTCCTCTCCGCTTCCCAGCTCTGGTCTCTCTCCCCCCACCCCCACACAGCCCCTATTAGGTCCTGCCCAGGGCCCCTCTCCAAGCCTGACGCTCCCCGTTCCCTGCCCAGGGAGACACAGGTTTGGCTAGTGACCTGGGGGATTGATGTGGCCTGGAAAGACTTGTTTCACCAAGCTGACTCCTGCACCTCTCCAGATGCAGCGTCATGTGGAGTGCCCAGGTTGTATTTTCAGAAGATATCCCCAGCTTACATGTTGTCCATATAACCCTTGGCCCCGCACTGCGGCATCTTCTTTCTTTACCTGGCAGTGCTTGGGGCTCACTCCTGGCTCTGAACTTAGGATCACTCTTGGCAGGATTACTGGTGGGAGAGATAGTACAGCATGTAGGGTGCTTGCCTTGCATGAGGCCTACCCAGGTTTGATCCTTGGCATCCCATATGGTCCCCCGAGCACTGCCAGGAGTAATTCCTGAGTACAGAGTCAGAATAACCCCCCTGAGCATCACTGGGTGTGCCCCCCCCCAAAAAAATTAGAAATCCAAAACTCCTGGCAGGGTTCATGGGATCATATGGTATTCTGGGAATTGAACCCTGGTCTCAAAGCAAGTGCTTTACCACTGTACTCTCTGTGGCCCCAACACTGTCTTTCTTCTAGCCAGAACCATGCCAAGCTCACACTTGACCTCCCTCTTCCTTCTTGCCCACCCGCTATTGAAGAGGTGATCAGGAAGACTTAGCCTTACATGGTACAGGGCGGGAGGGGCTACCCCAGGTTACCCTACCCAGGCACAAAGTTCAGAGTATCCTGGGCTTCCACTGAAGTGTTGGAGAAGGCCGGGATGGGGGTGGGGGGGAAGGGGATGGCAGCCAGTGACTTTTGGCTGTGGAAGGGCCTAGGGAGAAAGATGGGAGGGGCTTCTGGAGATGGGCTTGGGCTGGAGCTTGAACATGGCTGGGGGGAGGCTCTGAACAGGGCTGGGGCAGGCCTGGGAGCAAAAGGAAGACAAAGGAACTTGCAGAAAGACCAGTGGAGGGGCTGGAGTGATAGTACAGCAGTCAGGGCACTTGCCTTGCATGCTATTCATCTGGGTTCAATCTCCAGCACCTCATATGGTCCCCTGAGCCCCGCCAGGAGTGATCCCTGAGCACCGCTGGATGTAATCCCAAAACAAAACCAAAAATTATTGAATGAGACCCTCTGGGCACTTGGGATGTCTGATGTCCATTTGAGGCAGGTGAATCCAGGGATGTGCCCCTGGGGTAGGAGAGTTGAGAGGGAGGTGGAAATTCACCCTGGTTCATCTCGCTGTGTCCCCAACAATATCTCTCTGTTCCGCCCTCACCATCAGCTCTTCTTAAAGCCGTGTAGTTCTCTCTCTTTTTTTTTTTTTTTTTTGCTGGGGGGGGCAGTTCATCCAGGAATGTTCAAGATCCAGCCCTTCAACCCCGGGGTACTGTCACTCCAGCCCCGCCACTGATCTTTCTGCCCCCACTAGCAGGCCTGTGCCTGGCCCTCCGAGCCATCTCTGGGGCCCTAGCCCTGTCGTTTTGATGGCTGCCCTGAGACTCAGGGAGCAAAGGTTTCATCTACTTCCCTTCCCGCCCCAGGCACCTCCACGGATACCGGGTGCCCAAGGCCATGTAACTGCCTCAGGCCCCACCACAGCGGTGGCTAGGAGAACACCTGCCTCTGGGACAAGATGCCCCGGCCGGCAGGGCCAGACGTGCATGCACACGTGTGTGTCTGTATGTTCCTGTGTGTGTGAGTCTCTGCATGTGTGTATCTGTGTATGTCTGGTGTGTCTGTGTGTTTGTGCGTGTGACAGTGTATGTGCATGTGTGTCTGTATGTCTTTGGTGTCTGTGTGTGTGTCTGTGTATGTCTGTGTGTGTCTGTGTGTCTGTGCCTGTGTGTGTCTATGTGTATGTGCGTGTGTGTGCATGTGTGTGTGCGCATGTGTCCATGCTTGCGTGTGTCTGTGTATGTATATGTATGTGCATGTGTGTGTGTATGTCTCTGTGTGTCTGTATGTATGTGTGTCTTTGTGTCTCTCTCTGAGTGTGTCTGTGTGTGTGCGTATGTCTGTGTGTCTCTGTATGTGTCTTTGTGTGTGTCTCTGTGTGTGTCTGTGTGTGGTCTTTGTGTGTCTGTGTGTGCATCTTTGTGCGTCTTTGTGTGTGTGTCTGTGTGAGGTCTTCGTGTATCTGTGTGTGTGTATGTGAATGTGTGAGGTCCAAGGGAGGCGAGAGGTGGAGAAGAATGGGGGGCGTCTGGGGAAGCACAGGCAGCAGCTTTCCCCGAGGGTCTCATTTCCTCAGCGTGGTGGCTACTTCTGGGCCGGCAGGTTGTGGTGGTTGTGGCTGTGTCTGTGGCTGTGGCTGTACAACTCTGGTTCGTGCCAGCCTGCCCACCTCTCTCCACCCCGGGATGGTTTGGCTTGGTGGTTCAGGAGTCAGGTCTTGGAGTCCAACAGACTTGGCTGGAATGTGGGCTTGTCCGTCCTTTCTTCCTTCTTCCTTTCTCCCTCCCTCCCTTCCTCCCTCCCTCCCTCCCTCCCTCCCTCCCTTCCTCCCTCCCTCCCATCCAGTCATCTTCTCATCTATTTTTTCATTCATCCTTTTATTCATTTATTTAACTGTCCATCCACCCACCCACCCATCCATCATTTAGAACTGATGGAATTTTCAGCTGCCTAGTAAAAAATAAAAATGTGAAGCTCCTTGGGGCTGGAGTGATAGTACAGTTGGTAAGGCGTTTGCCTTGTACGCGGCTAACCCCGGGTTCGATTCCCAGCATCCCATAGGGTCCCCCAAGCACCACCAGGAGTAATTCCTGAGTGCGTGCAGAGCCAGGAGTAACCCCTGTGCATTGCTGGGTGTGACCCAAAAAGACAAAAAAAAAGTGAAGCCCCTTGTTAAAAACTTATTAAGAATTTCTAGACAGTCATGAGCCAGAGAGATCGTACAGTGGTTAAGGCGCTTGCCTCGCACGCGGCTGACCTGGGCTCTCTCCCCAGCACCCCTTTTGGGCCCTGCAGGAGTGACTCCTGAGTGCAGAGCCAAGAGTCAGTTGTGAAGCACAGCTCAGAGCTGTGGCCAAAATCAAACAAAAGATTTTTTTCCTAGTACAGTAGCTCCAGAGCATCAGCCAAGTGTGGGGCCCTTTGGCATGAGGACCCTGAGCAGTGCACAGCTCCCACCCATGAGCAGGCCCCCATCTCTGTCCCCCCTCCCTTGGCCCTGATCCCGGTGGTTGGGGGTCGACGCTGAGCCAACAATCACAGTCACAGCAGTGCTGCCCTGCGGCATTTCATCAGACAGGATGATTTCCGGGAGCGAGGAAGCCAGGGTGCTGGTCTGCCGTGGGTGGCTGGAGCAGGGATGGGGTCTGGGGCTGCAGCAGGGGTGCGAAGCCCCCAGGCGGAGGGGCGAGCGGGCACTGCGACTCCCTCTGCGCTGAGTGCCCCGTCCTGACATGGGAGTGACAGTGACAAACTCCGAGGGTGGGTAATGCCTGTATGCACACAACTCTCCACCCCTCCCCAGGCTCTCAGTCATGCTCAGGAGATGTGGGGCCTCCTGGCAGTGCCCAGCCACCAGGCCAGTGGCTCAGAGCTGGGCCCGAGGATGCGGTGCTCACCCAGGGGGTCCTGGGGAGATTAGGTGTCAGGTGGGGATCAAACTGGGGGTGGCTGAGTGCAAACCTTCCCCCTGCATCATCTTTCTGGCCATGGCATTCTGGGTTTTGGGGTTTTTTTTTGTTGTTTGTTTGTTTTGTTTTGTTTGGCTTTCTGGGTCACACCCAGCAATGCTCATGCTCAGGGTTACTCCTGGCTCTGCACTCAGGAATCACTCCTGGTGGCACTTGGGGGACCATATGGGATGCCGGGGATTGAACCCAGGTCAGCCCTGTGCAAGGCAAATGCCCTCCCCGCTGCTCTGGCCCCACGACACTGTTTTAAAGGTGATACAAATAGCTTCACTAAGGGTAAGTACAAAGTAAATGAGAAGTACCTCTTTTCCACCCACGTTTTACAGAAGCGGACACTGAGGCACGGCGGCTAAGGGCCACCAGGCAGCAGCGTTGAGTTTGGCACGGGTGCCCTCTGCTCATTCCTGCACCCTCAGGCCAGGGTGCAAATGTGGTCACTTCCCCAGGGCCTGTGCATTCCCCACCCTGCTGGAGCCAGTCTGGGCCCACTGGCCTGTCAGTCACCCAGTGTGCCCTGCCCCATCTGCTGTGTCCTCGGTGAGTCGCTGGCCATTTCAAACGTACCTGCTGGCTCTCACAAAGCGCAGCCTCCCCCCTTCCCAGCTCCTTGGCAATCCCCCATGCCACCCCGGTGGGGTGAGGGGGGCATATACCTTCCCATCCACATCCCTTTGGAATGCATCTTGGGCTCCAGGCAGCCCTGATCTCTCTTCATAGAAATAGGCCCCACCGGGGGAGGAGAAGGCGGGAGGGAGCGCGGCTCCAGTTTTTCAAGTTATAATGATGCCAGTAATTGAGACTCCGAATTGCACATTTGAATCGCTTGAAAGTAAAAAATATCGTTTTGTAATGCTGGTGTTAAT